GTGCACTACAATAAATTTTACTGCGAAATCTTATTGTAGTGCACAGTAAAATTTGCCTAAATACTATATTGTTCCATAATTAACATGATTTGCAGGGTAAATTAAAAAAAAAATTCTCTCCGTGTACCGAGACAAGGTCAAATCATTATGAAACAGGATGTTTCATATTTTATTCCAACACAGTCCGATATAAAATGTGATACATCTCTTGTATTTACTTTGCAATGACCTTATTTCGATATTTTTATCAAAATAATAATAATCGCGCCTAACAGCGCTACAACATCGGCGTGAAGAAGATTGCAAAAATTTATATGCGATGCGTGATATTAACGTATTGTTGTATCGATCACGCGATCGGCGTACGACTGCGTTTCAAAATCTGCTTATCAAAGCTGATTCGCGTACCGAGCGAAAAAGCAGCCGTCATCAATTACACGTTAAAGGAATTTAAAGGCCTTTAACCTCTCCTCGCAGGTTCGCCTCGTTAATTTTTTTCCCACCGCGCGAGCGCGATCGCGCTTTCGTTAAATTTCATATATTTGAAGCATTAAGCATATTAATGTTGTACTACGCTTAAGCATTCACGCTTAAATATATATAAATGAATAAAGACTTCGTATACCCGCGTGAATTACGACACGTTCTAAAATTGAAGCATGCAGCGCAAAAACATATTACGTAACGGTTCACTCTCGGGTACAACGTCTCATATCCGCTGTCGCGAAGACGAAGACGACGACTTTTCATTCAGTCTTTTGATCCTCAAAGGAAGAACCCGTCGAAATCGTTGCGCGACAACGCCTTATTTACATAAACCTTAATCGCAAGCATGCAAACTCGACAGTGTCCGCGCGCGCATGTGTGTAAGTGTGCGTGTGTGTGTGTGTGTGTGCGTGCGAAAAATAAGGAAAAAAAAAAGAAAAAGCAATCTTTGTACTATCAGTTCTTTCTAAATGTGTCTCGCGATAACCGTGCCTCGCGATAAGGTCACATTTGCGACGGCGATCGAAAAACGCGTGACACGGGAGCGTCCGACGATCCACGCAGCGCGCATGAATTAACAGCTATATAAGCCTCATACGATTTATCTGAAGCGCGCAAACCTTCCTGATAACGGTCTCTCAAGAAGTCTCCGTGCGCGGGCGCGCGTCGACGGACATCCGCGCGAGCTCGAAGAAACCCGGAATGCGGCGATCGCGATTTAATTAGAGCCGCGCTTTGAATATTCAAAGCGTGTATACATTGTCAGCGCGCTTGCCGGCAGAGGTGAGAAAGGTTACGGGGCAGTTTTAACGTTACGGGAATCGAAGAGAAGATATATATGTGTATTGCATTATTACACGTCGCCGTCACGTTCCCTCTCTCGCAAGTACCCCGCGTAAGGACTCGCAAGGTCTCTCGCAGGTACAGCGGCGCGACGCAGTTTTCCGCCTCTCATCCTTCGTTCTCTCGACAATCGTTCGCGACGGACTTTGCGCCCCCCTCGAGCGCGCGATAGCCAAAAGTTCCCATCATCATCCGCAGAGGGAGATGAGAGGGGGAGGAATATCTGAATCGGATCAGATCTGCTTTCGCTCGCCAATGACGGGGGTTTATACTGATCACCAGGACGGGGGGGAGGGGGGAGGTGAGGAAAAAAAAAGAAACAAAAATCACCTGAGGCGCTTACGGCGCTCGACCAGTCCCACGGCATGATTGAGCTGATGCATCTGCAAATTGCCATTACCGCCCCTCTCGCTCGGGAAGCTATCCTCGATCTCCTGCACCTCGCTAGGATCGACAGGATCGGGCTCATGCTCGTGCTCGTGCTCGTGCTCGTGCTCGTGCTCGGGCTCCCCGACGACAAAGCTCACCGGCGCCTCCGACATCTCTCTGCACGCGCGTACGGACGATAGTCCCGGGATAGAATTGGTATCGACACGGTGGTGGACAGTCTCCTTACTGGATTCCTCCGCCGAACCGGAGGAGGAAGAAGACGTTAGCTCCGCGCGCTCGGTATTACCTTCAAAAACACACATTCGCGGGTGTACATCGCCCGATCGGGGGGTGGGGATGGAGCGTTTCGAAAGGAGAGAGAGAAAGAGAGGAGAATCTGCTCGAAGAGAGCGTTGCGATGCGTTCGGACCACGGCGATTTCCCGCGGAAGGATCGACGCTAAGGGCAGAAGAGCCTTGTCTACTCGCCCGAAGGTGGTCCCACCGGGAGGAGGATCGCGCGGAATCGTGGAGACGGGCGGACAGCGCGAGGGAATCACTATCCCTTTCGCGCGTGACAAAAAGAGGAGGGAGAGGGAAGAAGAGAGAAGAAAGGTGCTGCACGTGCACCGTGACTATCGCACGTGATGGCCCGTTGTCAATTCAAGAAGAGACACACACACACAGGTGCGTATAGACACGGTCCCTGGCGAAAATAAAAATAGAGCGTAGGTCGCAGAAGTAGGTGGGCAGAAGCGTGAACAAAACTTTCAGGAAGCGTAAACTGGAGCAGCGTTTTTTTTTTTTACAACACTTTGACTACCAATTATAAGCTGATTTTGGCATTAAACTTAATAAATCTAGTTCATTATAATACCTTATTCTACTTCATTAATTATTGTTTTTTTTCATGCATACGATTTATATTGTTCCTTTAACGTTTTAACTAAATTTAAATACTTCTGACGCTGACAATGAAATAATTCAGTGTATCAAGATAACAGAATGCATTTTGCTAATTGTAAGACCAAAGGGAATTTCTTATCATGATTAGAATGTGTTTTATAGAACATTTGATAGGCTTGACTGTTAAAAATTTAGTTAATATTTTCGATGGATTTATGAAACTTTTAGTTATAATCAATAAACGTTTTTTTTCACTAAAAAATTATGCCAGCCTAACTAAGTAAATTTATAGTATCATTATAAAGAAATTTCTGTTAAATAGATTTATCTGTTATTATTCTGTTAAATAGAACAAGAAAGAATTAATACTTTGGTAATACTGCTGCACAGATTTTTGTAATCCTCTAGCGCCATCTATTCTTTATCTATTTTTTATCATGTAGTTTTTATATTATGTAATTTTAAATAAAATTTTTACATTAAAATAAATTTTCCAATAAAATATGTTTTTTAATGTTTTTTAGTAAAAATCTTGGGCAAAGTTTTTCAAAGAAATCACAATGCATGTAAAATTAATGCAGTGCTTTTGGTTGATATATAAATGATAATAAATAATGTTAAAAATGTTAAATTAACATTTTAAATTGATATGACGCGTTGAATTCACACAAGTGTATCCAATTATCAGTCAAAATGTTAATGGTGTATAAATTTCTAGAAGAATCGTTTATTTTCCAATATAGAACTGGTTGAATCTAGATTTCCAATTTATGCAACCAGATTTTTTTTAACAGTAATAAAATCATTCTTGATCGGGTAAATAAATCCATCATTCATAAACGAATGACGGGACCTTTGCGAATTATTATTATTATTTTTTTTTAAATAATCGTCACCCAAGTATGAATGACATGGCAGTGTCAAAGTGTCAAAAAAAAGGTAAAACGTTACCTCCCTTACGTTTCGCCGATTCCGATTTACGCTTCCCGGTAGTTTCGTTCACACCGTCACTTTCCTCTCGCACTCACACTCTTACTGTATACAACTTACGCTGCTCCACTTCCGCCAGGGGTGCGCACGTGGATTTTTTCTTGCGTTATACGATATGTGAATTGCGGGGGAAAGTACCGTACAGGAAGTCCAGAAGGCGGCCTAGCATACCCGTAGTTTATGTTCTCCACTTCTCTTGGTACCTCCCTCTTCCCCTAGCGAGCGGCATGTAAATTCGAAAAGGCGAGCCGGCGAATCGCGTTGAAGAGGGTATACGCGGTCGAAGGGATACTGAAGAGGATGACGACGACGACGACAACGACGGCGGCAGCGGCGGCGGCGACTCGCACGCGCTGCACTGACTCGCCGGGAGCTGCTCCGAGCGAGCTGGAAAACCAAGTCGCGACACCGTTTCGCGATATAATACGCGCGGGGCGATTCACGTGTCCCGCACACGAGCCGAACACGACTGAAGCTCGTCCGCCCGGGGTTCAAGGGTCGTCCGGCGGTTAACGTCGAGCCGCGGTCATCATGCGGCAATCACGCCGATCGTACGATTCACGCGCGCGAGCGAATCCTCTTTCGCGGCCGAAACTCGTCGCGCGCGGCCTTGGGTACTCCTCAACCCTCTCGTTTCACCGATCAGCTCTCTCTCTCTCTCGCTCGCTCGGCACCGTTCGATTTCTCACGCGACTTCCTTCCCTTTCTCTTCCTCAACTTCGCCAATTTCCCAGTCTTCGGTTAGCCTCCAGTCGCATCGATCACTCTCTCGCTCGTCACGTCATACTTTTTTTTACGTTTTGTTTTTTTATTCGTAAACGAGCAACAGGCGAATTCGCGGAATCTCACGGCGCTCCTTTCATTTTACACGCGCGACAGTCGCGAGGTGCGAGGATCACACTGCGATCAGCTCGAGGCGCCGTCTTACTGTTTACAGTTTACATCGCCGCCAAGGACCGCGATTCGCCGCGTAGATGCGCTCGCTCGCTCGCGGCGAGATGTGTGCTAAAGTTAAAGTGTATTTGCGAACGGAGCGCAAATTCCATCGGCGATCTTATCTTGTGGATCTCTTCTCCTTCCTCCCCTCTGTGCGTGTTATTTAATAGCACCCGAGTCCCAAATAAAGGGGTTCGACACGGATGTAGAATCGATTTTCGCGGACGAACGATTTGCCTGTGTAACGGAAGTGAAATGAAAATCGAAGCGAACGATAGAGATGCGAGCGCGTAAAAACTTTTCATATAGATACGAGGACTGGAAACCTGCAGAAAGTCCTCGGGACTCGCTCTCGCGGCGAGAAGAAACTCCCGCGTGAGAGAGAACCCACGACGTTCACCGCGACGTTTCGTCAACGGGTTTATACAACGCGGTCAGTTTTGCCATTCGACTGGTACACTCGTGGTGAGATTGCGACACTTTTTTTCCGTAAATTTACGAACGCGTAAACTTACAAACATGTAATACATATATAATAAATATGATAATGTACCAAATATATTGACGATAATCAAATTACATTATTTATTCAATATTATTTGAGTAATATTATCCAGGGTGGGTGTTCAAATTTTGTAAAAGAATTCCCTGAAAATTCCCGGATTTTGCAGGAATTTTATTCAAAATTCCAGGTATAAGATTAGAAAATTTCTCAATACAGCTTTAAAATAAATTAGGCACTGAGAGTTTAACTTCTAATATAACGTATATAAAACTTGATGCGTGAAACAATTTGATCTTCTCATATGTACAATAGTTACATGTCCATACAAAATTTTTCGAACGTAACCGAAAGATTTTTTATGGAGATGTAACTACGTATGTGAAGATTAAATTGTTTCACGTACCAAGTTCTGCGTTATTAAACTCTTAATGCTCGATTTATTATTTTCGGATTATCGTTTCCTAGATTGAAGAGTCTTTTATATAGTATATGTCGATTTTAAAATAAATTAATTTTCAATATCAGGGGCCTTTCGATATGGCGATAACGCCACGCGTTTACTTTCTAAAGAATTTAAAGGGATAAGATTAAATTTTAAAAATTCAAAAAATTTCCCTGAGTACCAGTAAAATTCCATGAGAATCCATGATTTTCAAGGACAAAAATGAAATTCCCTGAGAATTCCAGGTTTTCCCGATATATAATACCGATATATATATAACCCTGTTATCAAAAATGGTAAAACCACGCGTATGCGTAAACTCAAACTCACTGGAATAAAAAAAGTGTCGCAACTTCATCGTCCGCGAGTGTGTACGCTTCATTTTACGTGTATCGCAGAGAAGAAACGGGAGCGGGCGCAGCGGAGATCGAGCGGCTTGACATTCGTACATGTACCGCGGTGTACTCGATGTCTCGGCCCTTCCTCCCTCCGTCCCTTTCCCACCTAACGGAAGAGGAGAACTTATAATCAAATTACATATATTATTTATTCAATATTATTTGAGTAATATTATCCAGGTATTCAAATTTTGTAAAAGAATTCCCTGAAAATTCCCGGATTTTCAGGGAGTTCTTTTACAAAATTTATAATATATTATTTCAGTAGAACTTTCGACCGTCGCATTTCAAATCGCGTGGTCCTCGCGTGGTCTACAGATTTCCACCCGAGATTGTCGAAATATTAACGATGGGGCCGACGGCGATTGGCCGAGCCGAGTGTCAGGCGACGCACGGGCGACGCCGATTGGCCGCGCGCGCGCGTGGTATGACTGCCGCGCGGCGCGGAACATCCGCGACTTCCCCCTCGGGCCGCCGCCGCCCGCCTCATTCTCTCTCTCTCTTTCGCCGCGCGCTCGATCGACGCGCGCGCGAGGCCACGCCGAGACTCTATGTTGACGTTTTCGAGAGCCGTCGCGTGTCAACGCTCGCCCGCGATCGGATCCCCGAGCGGATTCCGGACGCGCCTCGGAAGAGAGAGAGAAACAATTCCGTGTCGCGCTCGTGCGCGCAAGAAAATTAAAAAAGAGTTAGAGAGAAAAATACACGATCAAACCGATCATGTTTCGACTCACCGGTGACGGATCTTGCGCGCCGCCGGAGCGAGCCGCTGCTTCTCCTGGAGGTTAGATTCGTCTACTCGTTCCCGTTCTGTCATTCGAGACGAGTCGACGGATTCCACGGAGGGAGGGGAGGAGAGAGAGAGGAGGAGATCAAAATTCCGGTGGGACTCGTCGCACCGTCCACGGTGCTCTCCGGCCTCTCCGTTTCGATACTTCACCTGACGGCGTGCACGGCCGGGATCGGTCGCGGCGTATCGCCTCGCGAAAAGCCGAGTCACCGTCGCCGCGCGTGACCATTTATGTGTAATTATTTTTTCCCTTCCGCGCGCGGACGACTAACCGCTACTCTGGACCGCGCGTTGCGAGGTGTAAAAAAAAAAGGGGAGACAAGTCACGTCGACATGCCACACCGTGCTTAGCCTGCAGCCAATGCTAGGCTAGGCTGCTGTCATCGCGCGCGCGCTCGTCCTTACCGGTCGGAATCGTGCGCGGTGCGAACACTGCGAACTGCGAATCGACGCAACGCAAATGCGCCGCGCGGCACAGGCGCGCGCCGTCTGCGCAGGGTCGGGATTTTAAGTGTGTATACACATACCATGGACCTATATATTCCTACGTCAATGGTATACATACGTATTACATCGCTCTGTCCACTAGCATATTCGGTGGGCAAATGTCTAACGGGCGCTGTATATAATTTCTCGCATTTACATCCATCAGACACCTGTGAGTTTAACCCTTACTTGCCACACTTCTGTGGCGTGACGTGCTTGACACACTGGGGTGGATTGCACCCCAGTTATAACAAATTGTTATAACAAATAATCTATTAAATATTTTAACTTCAAAATTTTTTTTATAGCTTCTCAAGAACTTACTTTTTAAAGTTATATGAGTGATATGGACAAAAAATAAA